TATTTTTCCTTCCCTTCCCCTATGCTCATCTGTTTTGTGTCTTAAATTCCACATGAGTGAAATCATATGGTATTTGTCTTTCTCTTACTGACTTATTTCTTTATGATTTTTTCTAAAAAGATAATATACTTTTAAAAAACTGAGCAGTAAATTAATTGTGCTTCTCTGCCTCCTTCTTTTCCACCTCCTTTTTTTTCTTTTTATTCTTTAAAGTTTTAATTAAATTCGTATACACCTGGTTATTTGCTCTTCCAATTTCTTTATTAAAGGTTATGATTTTTCAAGATTCAGTAGTTAGATGCTACAGTTGTTGTCAGATTTATTATTTCTTTCTCCATTAAACTGTTAGGTTTTAGAGGTCTTCCAGAGTGGCATTTAGTTTTTAATGTTATTGCTTGCCTTTGTTTACTTTAATTATGATTACTTTCAACACTTGGTTTATTCTAGAATATGCAATTATCTCATTTCTCAATTTCTCCTATCCTTTTGTCTATTTGTATCGAATCCCCATGACTTAAATAAACTGTAGCTAAGATCAAGAATATCTTGATAGGGTCTCTTTCTCCATAATTGGATATTTCTTAATCAGTTCTGTATCATTGATATGATATGTCTTTGCACAATTTCCCATGAGTACACAATTTTGAGGGGCATTTTTCCCTATTTCCTTTTCTTCACTTTGTGTATAGTGATCTTGATGTGGTCGGATAAGATCAGTGCTTGATGACATTAGAGGTGTGTATTTCATTTAAAACCCACTTTGAAAATAAAGGTCAGTGTGCGTATTATTCAGCTCTTAAACTGCCCTTTTTATGTGTTCAGATGCTCTAAGACAGAAGTTTTCAAAGTATAGTCTAAGGATTCCTGGAGGGTCCCTAGGACCCCCTTTTAGAGGGTCTGTGAGGTCAGAACTATTTTGTCATACTATGAAGGTGTTTCAAGTACAGTGTGTGTCCTGTGATTTTACCGTAGACTGTTCCGAAGAAGATGGGAGAATCCAGTTGTCTTCTATTAAACCAGAAATTAAAGAGATTTGAAAAACTTTAAAACAAAAACACAGCACTCATTAATTTTTTGGTTTTAGAAAATATATTATTAGAAAATGTTCACGTCAGTATGTCACGAGTTTGTTTTTTTAATAAATTAGTAATTTTTTTATTTTTCGTTTTTAACTACTATCATAGTAACTAATGTTAGATGTAACTCATTTAAGCAAAAACTCCTGGAGGTTCTCAGTATTTTTTTTTTTCCTATAAAGGGGTCCTGAGACCAGGAAGTTTGAGAACTGGTGCTCTCAAAGTGTGGCTGCTTCTAACAATTGTATCTTTTGGGGGGAAGACAAAAGATCATATTCCACATTTTCCTTTTTGCTTGGCTTCTTGCCTTGAGATAATGTAAAAGTTAAAAATAATAACTAGTGGTTAAAGGCAATCAGTGGAACTAAGCAAAAATAAAATACTGACTCCTGCCATTTATCAGTCAATACATTTAAATGCCTCCTACCACATGTGTACATGATTATATCTCGAGTTTTCATAATCTTTCTACACCAAGTAATTTATAGCAAATGATTCCTGCCTGTATTTTTAAAAGCCCATGACCTTCAGTATTTCATTGCTTTATTTTGTTTTTAAATTTGTTCCTCTGTTAGTGCTAGCTCTTAAATCTATTATTTTTTCTAAAATTTTTCTTCTGTTATCTGGTTTAGCTCTCCTCTATGGAGTGCCAAATGGTGTCGTTTTGTTTTATTTTGTTTTAATTTGGACTTAGAACACAAACTATTTCTGTTCAAGAAAGGCAGAACAATATTTAATGAGCGTCTTTATATAATGAGTACTTTGCTAAACCAATGCTTGTAAGTTTATCTCATTTGTTGTTATTGTGTTGCTATTTTTGGTGTCATTTTCTTCCCAAAGCAATGGAGCTTCTTAATTGGGTTAGATTGGGAGTGGGGGAGATCATTATTCTCCATTGATCCCAAACTGTAATTCTTAGGTATGTTCCAAAGCAACTATATGAGAAACGCATTTTTGCCTTCAAACTCAGCTTATGCAAGATATAGCATCTTCATCCTCGGGGGTCTGGTGGCTTTTCACTAAGGCTGAGCATGGCTCTCTGCCTTCCCACCGATCCTCCCCTTCCCATGGCCTTCCCGCTCCTTCATCATTCTCCCCTCCTCTCCTTTGCCGTGGTTCTCCTCTCATGCCCACCCTACACAATCAAGCATCTGCTTGGGAGTCATGTAGTGGGCAAGGCTGTGACTCCACTACCACATGCCTGCATCTGAATCCCAGTTCCAGGAGTCTAGTTGTGACATTGCACACATCTCTGGCCTCTTTATGCTTCAGCTTTCTCATTTGCGGAACAAGCATCAATATGATTTACCTCACAGAGCTGCTACGAAGATTAAACAAGTTGATAGGTACAAGGTGTTTATAATAATGCTTGGAATACAGTAAGTGTGTAGGGCATTAAGGAGTGAGCTCGACCTGGTAAGACATGAGCAAAAGCAACTTTCTTTTGTCTCGCGGTTGTCCTGATGAATCAACACTATGAATTTCCGCTCCTTCATGAATAAAATTTCAAGCCATTCCTGTAGCTTCTCCAGTCACTCTTGGAAAAGGAAAAGACCAAGATTTTAGACTCATTCAACTTTAAACTCCCTCCTTTCCCCAACATGGACCTTAGAGATCTGTAATTTGTAAATAGAGGGGATAGGAATACTTGTTATTTTCTTCTCTTTCTCTTTATCCACCAACTAACTGTGCTCCTTCTAGGGTTGTTGTGAGGGCGACAGTGAGGAGAGGGAGAGGAGGTGGAGGGTTCGCAAAGGGCTTCCCAGACTGGTGCAGTTGTGGTCTGGCATCTGTGGTCTCTGGGTGTGTCTGGTGACAATGGCGATGTTCTTTCCCTGTGGGACACCACTGAGGGCTCTATAGAGACCCACTGCAGGGCAGTTCTCTCACTTCAGGTAGTACCTCTCTGAGGAGTCAGTGGTTCCTCAACTGCCTGTGCCACCTCCCTCATGTTCTGCTTCCTGCAGTGTTGAGATGAGATGGCATCACCCCAGCATGAAACATTCTTCAGGGGAGACTCATGTGTGGTTCCCTTCTGCACAGCCCACATTGAACCTGTGAGAAATGAGCACCCTTGTTCAGTTCTTCTTTGAGGGCAGCTGAGTCTCACTGAAGCCCCCTCTTCTTCCTCCCCTGTTCTAACCACCTCTCGTTTTCACGAGTGAGCTGGGTATCATTTCCTGTTTCCCCAAATCACTAAGTGAGACATGTCAAGCACCACAAAGTGTAACCTTGAAGCTGTCCACCTTCTCTTACTTGGCTTGCAGAGAAAGAAGAGACTCCCTCCCTTCCCCTAGGATATAGGAAAGGAGAAGAACTGAAGTACCCTGGCAATTTTTTCTCTTAACCCAACAGAAAAATGGGCAAAGGATATAAATGGGCAGTTCACAGAAGAGGAAAACCAAAAAGCAGATACTACACCAGTAAACAGAGAAAGACAAATTAAACCAAACCTAGGATACAATGTTTGCACTGCAGCTCAGCAGAAGTTAAAAGTACAGATTTGGTAAAGATATTGGAAAAACAGAGCCTGGGTGGCTCAGTTGGTTAAGCGACTGCCTTCAGCTCAGGTCATGATCCTGGAGTCCCTGGATTGAGTCCCGCATCGGGCTCCCTGCTCGGCGGGGGGTCTGCTTCTCTCTCTGACCCTCCCCCCTCTCATGTGCTCTCTCTCATTCTCTCTCTCTCAAATAAATAAATAAAATCTTTAAAAAAAAAAGATGTTGGGAAAACATAATAAACACACTGTTTGTGTGAGTAAATGTTGATGGAGTTTAAAAATTTTCAATCTACCTTTTGACCCCACCAGATGTGCTTCCAGCTCTCTGTCCGAGAGAAACACAAGCAAAACCACCCAAATATCTAAGTGTTAGAAGGCTTATTACTGCATTGTTAGTAATTTTTAAAAACCTGAATGTCCGTCAAAAAGGGACTAGCAAAATAAATTATGATGCATTCAACAAAATGGACACAAGTGTTAAATAGAATAAGCTGTAGTGATTTGTGGGAAAGGTTTCAAAGACATTGTTAAATGAAAAAACAATGTAAAAAATTAATATTAATCATACATTTATATAAGAAAATGAAAAAATCAGGAGTATTTCCTTGCATACATATATTCATGTTTGTGAATTCATAGAAGAACATTCAAACCATTTCAAAGTGATGAGTGATTACTTTTGGAGAGGGATCTGAGACTAGGGGAAGCAGGATCAGGTAAGACTTCCACATTCACAGTGAAAGTATGTTACACGTGTGATAACACATAATTTAAAAGATAATTTAAAATAAAATAAAATGAGTAGAGTTGCTAGGAGTGATCTTTAAGATCATCTCAAATATGCCACTCTATATTGATAGTTGGATTTACTAATCCTCAGAAGAGCCTATGAGAGCATTTAGCATCTTTAAACAATATTTATCATATTAAGGATAGTCCTCTATAATAATTACTCACATCTAAATACCTGTTCAAACAATAATTATTAAGTCTTTGCTACGGTTGTGAGCTTCTAAAATGACACATATAATTATGCTTTATTCAGATAATAAACCAGACAAATTTCAGTACACAGAATACACTTGACTTTATTATAATGATAGTTAGCAGATTTGAACTTATATGGTAATATGCATAAAGAGAACTGCAACTATTATTCTCTGAGGAGTAAATATTTTATTTCTGGACATTGGTTTTATATGCTTTAAACTGCATTTCACTTTTAGGTAACTGTATATAAGCTGTTCTTGAATTATGTGTGGTATAAACTTATTTTCCTATTGTGTTTCTTTTTAAATCATATATGTGTGTTGTCGAATCACATAACATAGTAAAGATTATTCTAATTCTGAAAAGATTAAACATAAATGTTGGAACCATAAATACGGTTACCGGAATGTTACTCCATTATGTTCCCTATTTAGTACCTACATGAAAATGGGATTGTCCATCGTGATCTCAAACCAGAGAATCTTCTCTATGCAACTCCAGCCCCAGATGCACCACTCAAAATCGGTGAGGACATTTCCTGAAGTCTTATGACCCCTTTCCCAGAGCAGAAGAAATTTATTCCATAGAATTTTAAAATATTGTTCCATCCAGTTTTGCCTCCATTTAATTTCCTTGGATATTTCATGTCTGTAAAGGAATAATGCATTGTTTTGGAAGTCTGAGTTTTTTCCTGATATATTTATCTGGAAGCAGTGCCTAGGAGTTGGTGCTCCAGTTCTGGACACAAAGGAAACATAGCTCTTAGAAATGACAGGGACTTCAGAAGGTGATGGTGTATTTTGTAGATAAGTTTATATAGAAGGAAATCACAGATAACATAACACTTCTTTTTTTGTTACTTTTTATTCCATAAATTAGTTGGAGCTTAATTTTAGATATTCAAGGACTTTGACACAAAATGCTTAGTACCTATCAGCGAATTTAGGATCTGAGTCACTTGTTTATATGAACAGAGATAAATTAAGATCCGTATTTCTCAGAGTGCACTCCACAGAACACTGGTTCCTCAGCTGAGCGAACAAGAGTAAATACTCTAATTCCTCTTTGCGGGGAGGGGCGGGGGGGTAGGTGGGAGTGGTTTGTGGAAGTGCTAAGTTTTGGTCAAATAAATTAGGAAATGCCAACTTAAACAAGATTTTTTATTTCTGCAGGACTTCTCAGAACTCTAAAAATGCTAATGTGTAAACTGACATCTAAATTAGTATTTGTGAGGCTTTTCCAAAGCCTTCCTTGACTCTGGGAACCTTGTTTTTTCTCCCAATAAGCATTTTGAAGAACCACAAAGATGAACTTTGTGAAATTCCAGTCTACTCAAAGAGTTCTTTAAACAGCATTTTAGAAAAAAAGCATATTAAATGTTACTTTCCCTGTCTTTTCATTTGCAAGTAATAATAACAGAACTTATTTTATAGGAATTCTCCTTAGCAGAATCTGTGTTAAATCCTCTGAAGGACATGGTTCTTTTGGTGCTGACCTGTATAATGTTAATCTGATAAGTTCACTGCATTAGCAGTGTTAACACCTTTGAAAATTAAGTTATACATATCATGGAAGAGCCCAGACAACATAATGTGCTTTATGAATGCAAGAACCCAAAGAAAAAATACCGAAGTCCCGCTAGGCAGCCGGCTTGTTCTTGTAATCACTCCTGAAAGGCAGTGAACAGCAGGGAGACTTCCATTTCCTTTGACATCACTTTCAAAGATTTTATCCTTAAAGAAATTTCTTTAAATGGATGGATAGATACTAATTTAGACAGGAGAGGCTTTCTTTCTAAAGGACTTCCTGCAGCTTTCCCTGATAAGGATCAGCACCTCCGTGGAAATGTGGGTTTATCTTTGAAGTCTAAAATGGCATCAATTCTGCACCTGCCTCTCTTGAAGAATGGCCTTGAATGGTTTCCTGATGTTTCCTGAGTGAGAGAGAAGTAGCCCAGCAAATAGACCATAATGGTAGCAACTTTGGGTAATGTTTTACCTAAGTAATATTCTGAGGAATAAATAAAGAGGATTTTTGAAAAAAAAAAAGTGTTATATTCCTCATATGAGAGAGAGTAAATCCTTATCCATCAGATACACTAAGGAACGATGTTATTTTGAAGCAGAATGAACCTTTTGATATTTCTGTTCATGTCTTTGACATTCACAAAAGCCTAATTTTTTTATTTTGATTTCTCCCCTGGAATGCTAATTCTATATCACTAATTCTATATTGTACTTTAGAGCTACTGTTTCATAAATCTCAGAGTTAACATTAGACAAAATATATCTACTGCTGTTACTTCAAGAACAAATAGCTTATTTGCTAGAAGCTGGGAATTATAGAGAAGAGCATAAAATGTATTTGGGAGTCATATTTTTCTCCAATTTAAAGCAAGGTTCGAATTACTGTTATTATTTTTCAGTTTCTTCTCCCAGGTGACTGGTCCCCTTCTTTATCCAATCATCAGATACAAAAACAAATGAGTCCATTTTATTTTGAATAACAGAAGTATTCTGTCATCTTATGAAAGCTGCGAAAAGACTTGTTTCATTAAATTTTTCTCTTGTGTTGTTAGCTGATTTTGGACTCTCTAAAATTGTGGAACATCAAGTACTCATGAAGACAGTGTGTGGAACCCCAGGGTACTGCGGTATGCTCTTTAATACTGATGTTTACTTTTACTGTTATTTGAAATCTATTTTTATTTGGTGATCTAATTTTTTCACTCTTAATATCTCTATTTAAAATGCTTACAATGTGGGGGATGCCTGGGTGGCACAGTCGGCGATTCTCCCCCTCCCTCTCCTTCTGCCCCTCCCTCCACTTCTCTAAAAAATGAAAATAAATAAATAAATCTTTAAAATGCTTATAGTGTGATGCAAGTCTCCATGAGGAAGGCACATATAAATGATACTCAGACCACCTCTTTTTCTGCATGAAGGTTCAGTGATGTTGGCTTTAGGTCACCCCTCTTAACAGGGAAAGAGGGAGCCCCAGGGGTAAGGACTGGGTGCTCTGCACCTGTCTTTTGGGCAGTAGGTACTCTTAAACCCAGTTAGGAGTAGAAGGACAGTCACCAAGAAAGAGGACAGGGAAACAGCTTTGTTTCTGGTTGGAAATAGGGCCATGAGCCCTCAGTCACTTTCCTTATTTGCATTCATTTGGGAGGGTGTGTGAGGAGAGAGTGTGTCATTAATTCAGGGGGCATATAGGACAACAGTGAGAATGGGGTAGTCCCTAGTCCTCACTGACAGCACTCACCTAGCCTTACTAAGACAAGGGCTTCAGGTGGGGTTCCCCACCAGAGTCCCCCAGTCTCTAGAGATGGACTGTGTGACATCCTCACATCCGAGAACCACATAACTAACTCATTTTAACAGCTTTTGAATTCATAGAAATCAGACTGCAGAAGGCACAATTAGATATCCACTGAAGCAAATATATGATTAAATTCACAGAATTGTAGTGCTAGAGGAAGCCTTAAAGTTCATTTACTAACATCCTCATATTGAGTTCCAGAGTATGACTTTCCCAAGATTCCATATCTAGTTGTTAGTGAGTCAGAGATGAGAATCCAGGTAGCCAAGGGCCTAAAAACAGATTTATAAAATTCCCTCTTCAAAAAAGCAATATAGATAAAATCAATATAATTTTCTTCATAGAAATGTTAATCAGTTATTACTTACAGCTTAAAAGGTTTTTTTAAAGATTTTATTTTTAAGTAATTTCTAAACCCAATGTGGGGTCAAACTCATGATCCCAAGACCAAGAGTCACATGCTGAGCCAGCTGCCCCTAAAATATTTTTTATTTTAGTGTTTTAAATCTCAAAGTATTACTTGATCATTGTAAGAAGTAAAAATCCAAGTATATGTAATGAGTATTAATAGCCTTATGCATTCTTCATCTTTCTCCATGTTTCTATAGTCACATAAACATTTTATAATTTTGCTTTTAACTAGTTAGCTTCTCTAGTGAATCTAAAATATTATTTCCTTGTAGCTCAATTGTCCATAAACCCAATAATTACACAGAATTAAGTATACCTATCTTTCTATTAAATCTTTAAATTGTGCCAAATATTCTTGCTCTGGATCTTAAACTCTTTGGCAGTAAGAGTAGTTTATCAATTAGGAGAAAACTCAGAAAACTCCAAGTAACTGTGGCTTAAACAAGATAGAAGTTGATTTCTCTCATGTTAGAAGTCTAGAGAAAGGCAATTCTGGTGGTTTCTCCAGCTATGGCCCTGCAGCTCTCAGTGCCAAGGATCCAGACCTTTTCTGTCTGGCTCTCGCATTCTTTAGCATGCATCCTCAGAGTCCAAAATGGCTGCTTGCAATCACTCATTACATCTGCATTCTATGTGACAGGAAGGGGGGAAAAAGAGTATACCTTTTCACGGTTAAATAGACCTGCTAAAACTCCATGTCACTTCCGCTTATATCTTATTGGCCAGTCCTCAGTCACAACCTCCACACTGCAGACTGGCAGTGTGGCCTGTGGCTGGACATGTTGGTGCCTCAAATGAATTCAGGGTACTTTTACTAAGTATGGGTATCACATTAGACAGCTCACTAGCTCTGCCACAGACTTAAAGAGTAGGATTCCCATTCCTAGGAAAAAACCCATTGAACTATGCCATGTTCCCTATAGGCATCCTCTTGTTTTGTTTTGTTTTGTTTTTATATATTTTCCTTAGAACTATTAGCTGACAACCTGTCCATGACCCTTTCCTTCTAATGGTGCCATAGATATTTCCCCTTTCTCTAATTCCTAGGTCCTTATTTATCATCTTCTTGTATTTCTTTCATGCCTTCTTACTTCCAAAGCTATGGAGGAAAAAAAGAACCTCGAATTTAGTACCACATGCCAGATGGGGTTGCCCATTTGTGAGTACTAATTGCTGACCAATCGATAGAAGCATTGAAAGAGAATTGATAAAAGAATGATAAAACAAAGTAAGGATTTCCCAAAAGAAAAAAGCTGATGGGCAATTTAGTAATCATTATCTAATAGCAAAAACTTAGTATTCCAAAGAGATAGGTAGGTTGGAGCAATTTTCTGAGAATTAGCAGCCTTAAAATTGGAAGTTCAGGAAGAGCTTAACACTAGCATCCTTTCAGTGGCTTTGATAATAGTGGTAAGAGCAGTTCTTTCTTGCAGCATTACAGAATAGTCATTCTATGAGTGAATGATTCATTCATTGATAAAAGGAACATTGGATATCTAATAGACTCCAAGTTAGGCACTGAGATTACAAAAGTGAACACCATATGGTCTTGTCCTTCCAGGATTTCGTGGGCTATTAAAGAAGAAATGCCCATATACAATAAATCAAAGTTTGTTATGGTAAGTTCTGTATTTGTCTGAGCTAAAGGCTTAAAGATACAGGGAGGAGGGAACAATACATCGTCCCCAAAGAGGTTTTTACAGAGGAGGGCATTTGAGCTGGACTCTGAAGGTTGAGTAGGAGTTCAGCAAATGAAGAGGTAGCCACAGGTAATCTTTGTAAGCAGGCAAAGGAAGAGAAAAGCCATAGAGGAGTGGTAGCATCTGGCAAGTTCAAGGACTGCTGGTTACTTTGTCATTTTACACGACTGCAATAAAGAGTCTTTGGTACAGAAGATACAGATGGACTTGGAAAGATAGGATGGACCATGTTTTTTAAAATAATCTATAAATCAGGCTAAGGAATTCAGACTTGCTTTGGTAGATAATAGGGATCCAGCAAAGGTTTTTAATCAGGGTAATTATATTTTAAAATCAAATCTGTATCTTATAGATATCTTGATAATGACATTATGACAGATGGATTGGAGGGAGAAAAGAGATCAAAAGAAGACAAATTAGAAAGCTATTATAAATTCTCTTTCCTGTCCTTCTGATGTCAGAAATCTACATACTGGGTGCTGTCAGTCCTCTAATAGCTTCTCAGAATAATGTATTTGATCTGTTCTACATCCAGTCATTTATTTTTAACTATAAAATGATTATAAAAATACTATTTCAGACCCTTGTCATTGCCATAAACAGGCCCATCTTACAGATAATGCCATCTAATAATGGAGGCTTATTTTCCATTTACTATTTATTTTTCCCCACAGATACCCACATCACCCTAGAGGCTACGTAATGGGGAAAGAGGGAATTGGTTGATTGAATGTGATCCATATAATCTTTGTGCTGTGCTGTAAGGTAGAGTCTCACCAGGAAGCAGTAATTTGCTATATTATAGGAAAAGGCAGAGAAAGCAGAAAGGAAGCCAGAGGTGGAAGGAGGAAGGATTCAGAGGGAAAAAAAGAAGTGCTCTGTGGACTCTGAAGTGCTAAATATATGTGTGGAATTACTATTATGTAGCCTGGAATACTTAGGTGGGGAGGAAACTGCCCATTGATAGAATGAATTGGAAATGAGAGCCCAGTGCAAGACTGGTGGGAATCACTGTCATCCTCCAGAAAGCATGACTTACAGAGACTTTACATTTGACATGAAAAGCTATCTGGAGCCCATATAATTGACGGAGAGGAAGATGTGTGAGCTTGTTTCCTTGCTTGTTGTAAGGGTGATTACATCCCAGGTCAGTTATCCTCATGTACAATGGGTCTAGTTTCTACCTTTACTGGAAGGCTTTCTCAGGTACATCTTTTGAGGGAGTGGGTGTTTATATTTTATACCATCTGTCATTTGTCAGGAAATACACAAGTGAAAAGCCACCCATTCAGTTTCATTCATAGAACCTTTGCCCCAGGCTATTAATAACAGAGGGTTCTCCTATAAGTGAATTGCAAAAGAAAAATCACAGATGCTGTGTGTTTAAGCAAATTCCTCATTATTTCCTGGGAAATGTGCCCAGTTGAAAATAAACTCCAGGCCAGAAAATTAAAATCTGTGATCCAGATAAATGAAATCAATGAGTAGTGCTCGGAAATAACCATGAAGAGATTCTCCACATCTTGTTGTTGGGAAAAGAAATAGGTCTCAAAAAAAAAACAACAACAACAACCCCAAAAACAAAAAATCCATTAGGTCATGGCTCCTGATAAATGGACACAATGTATACAACCCAAATGTCTTGCCTGGTTTAGCTATTTAAGGCTCGAAGTCTGTGGTTGTTCACCCTACCCATGTCAATCACAGAAAGGAACAAAAAGCTGTTAGAGTAGAAAAGAAAACAGTATGGTAAAGGGTGAGATAAAAGAGTATGTCTGTCTAATACTAATTTCTAATTCATAAGCTTAGTTAATTAAACTATGTATGTTCATATTTCATAGTTCTACCTGTCTATCCAAATTCTATTTGGAGGGTCTAGAAGCTGTTCAGAATTTATTTTCTGTTGGCATTTGCCAGGATCGCATAAGAGTGATAATCTTATGTTGTTCCCACATTGTTATGTTTTAAAGAAATAATTTCTTGTGTTCACTATACCAAAATTAAAGATAATTTCTCAACAGCTTGGAGTCAGACAGAAGAGATTTCTGTCTACATGAACACACATTAATATGACCAATGTAGGAAAATTTAAGTGAAGTAAAAGAAGTAAATCTAATAATCTAAAATACAAGCTTTCAGAATAGTTTCATAAAAGATGTCTTTTTGTTCATTTCTAGAGGACTAAAGAGCTAAAGTGAAATAAAAGTATTATATTATATTG